ACGTCAGTGTCTGCAAGCAGGGTACGGCCCAGCCCTGGCTGCCCCACAGCCCCTGCCCTTGGGGGCTCCACAGGGGCCCCTTCCCCTCTCTGCAAACTGCTCAGAGCTGTGGGGTCCTCCAGGGCTTCCCCAGGTCCTGCTCGGCCTTTGGTTTTGGTGGTGACTCAGTGTTCCTGCATTCCAGGTGCTCCAATATTTCTGTCAGCTCCACATTTTTACCAGGCAGATCCAAAGTTTGTAGAGGACATAGAGGGCATGCATCCCAAAAAAGAATACCATGAGACATTTCTGGACATCAATCCTGTAAGTGCAGCCTTTTTTCAAGGGTTCTGTTGGTGAATGGATCCAAGCACCTGGGTTCAGGTCACCTCCTTGCGTGGTGGGTGTTGGCATAGTCCCACTGACCTTAAGGAATCTGTAGTAGTTCTGTGATGCTGGATGGAATGGGAGATCCCTTTGGGCACTTTGGGTCAGCTCTCCTGTCTCTGTCCCCTCCCAATGTCACACACCCCACCCACCCACTCACTGGCAGGGCAGTGTGAGAAACAGAAAAGGCCTGGAGCTGTGCAAGGGCTGCTCAGCAATCACTGAGCATCCCTGCATTACCCACACTGTTTTCATCAGGGCTCCAAAACACAGCCTGGTGCCAGCTGCTGTGGAGAAAATCCATTCTCTCCCAGCTAAAACCAGTACAGCAGTGATCTCTACACCCCCACAGACAAATGTGGGTCAAGGAAAAGAGCACAGTCACTGACCTGCCTGGTTTATAGAAACAGTGCTCTGACTCACCGGGCTGTTATGTGCAGCTAAAGCAGGAGGAAATTCCACAGCTTCTCTCAGACCTGGTGCAGATCCTGCTGCGGGGTGTGTACCAGAACTGCATTCTCACAGTTCTTGTTCTTTCACCTTCACTGGGTTTTTTACACTGATCTCTTTTATTCCCCAGCTGACAGGGCTCGTCTTGCAGGCAGCCAAGCGGATGCAGGTCAACGTTCATGTCCGAAAACTACCTGAATTTTTGTGAGTGCTCTCTGCTTCTGGGTGGAGTTTCATATCTAACCTGATGTTCAGCATGATTTGTTCTGCAGTGTTTTGATGGAATTTGGGATGGAGAGAGCAAGCGTGAGAGAGGGAAGTGCAATAAAATCTCAGTTCTAAGGGACAGTATGCTCCCATCTCACAGATCAAGCAGATTCTGTAGTTCCACCTGCAGAGTAAAGAATGCTGAATGGCAGCTACTGCTCCTGATGTTTCCTAGCGCAGCTTGGCTGTAATAACTACAGCACAAGTATTTTATCTGCCCAGTCCCCTTGGGAGACTCAGGGGTGTCCTTCAGGCTTGTTTCCCAGTGCTCAGAAGCAGTCACAGTAACACAGCTCCTGCCTGCGCTGAGATTCCACATGTGCCAACTGTTGGGGGATTTTTGCTGCTGTGCCCATGTGGCTCGGACAATAGTTCCTGTGTTTTACAAGTAGGAGTAACCTTCAGTACATCAGCTTAGCTCAATTCCTGCTGCCTGGCACAAATCTGTCACTCAGTTACTAATGAGCCCTGGATGGATCCCTGTCTTTCACTGCCCACCAAATCCCAAAATACACCCTACTCCCGAATCAGAATTTATCCATCTGTGAGACTGAGATTGTCCTACTCCAGCAGGGAGGTGAAAATACACAGCAAAAAGGAACAGCCCAGAGGTTTTTTAGGGACACTTTCCTCTTTCATTGGTTTTGTATAATCTGTCTTCACAACCCTCAGGTGGAAAAGTCCAAACCCATAATTTTTTTTTCCCACGCAGTGAAACCGGCAACATCCGAACGCTGATTTTCCCAGTGATGTATATAAATGAGGTAAATAGTTTTGCTGTCTTTCCAGCATTGTGGCATGTTAATGCTTGCAGAAATACCCTCTGAGCCAGCCAGAAAAGAAAATGCTGATTTTCTTGTTTGTACAGCAATAGCTAGGAAGCTGTTGCTGTTTCTTAACTAACACCCTCCTGCTGTTTGTTGTACTGTTAATTTTAGCCTTCCCTAACACTCTCAGTCAGACACTCCTTTTAAACTGAAGGGAGTTGGCCATGAGGAAGAGGGGTGCTCAGACAGAGGCAGGACTTCAGGAGATCACACCTTTTCTTGAGTCATCTGCTGTGAATATTCCTGTGCTGTAGTCAGATCACTGAATCAATTGGTGTTAGTCCATTCCTAAACCATAAGTTAAAAATCCCTATTTTCCTTTGAAATAGACTAGCTAATCCCTGTGCCCCCTGGAAGAATTTTAGGGGGAAAGTGTGTCAGGAAGCAGTGAAACAGTGGTGGAGAATTGTGGGAGTGTTGTTTCCCTGCCCTTCACAAAAGTGATCTTATAGAAAGCACAGAAATAAATGAAGATTTGGGTTTTTTTTTTCAATTTCCTCTTCATCTCTCTCTGCTCCAGAGTGTTCTGATTGATGAAGCATCTGCCAGCAAACTCAGGCATGTCCTGCTGGAAGCCAGTGTTGTGACTGGGATCCCCTTTGTAATCATGGCTCTGGGGATTGTGTTTGGGATTGTTTTCATTGTGATGGCTTGCAGGTCCCAGAGGATAACTGAAGAGGTAAGCAGCACTTGCATTTGACTTTGCTTGCTGTCCATCTGTCTGCATTTGATTTTTCTTTTTTTTTTCTTTTTCTTTTTTTTTTTTTTTTTTTTTTTTGTGGTTGATTTTATCTTTTGGTGTCTTTCTGCACGTGTTTTTATCTTGTTTTTGTTGGGAATGACCTTTCTAGGGAGGGGAAGTTTTAATAGACTCAGAATAAACGCGCCAAAGCAAAGGAGCGGAGTTAATCCGAGAAGCCTGGTAAGGCAGGTCCTGTCTCTGTGCCAATTCCCTTGCCAACAGTAGTGAAATAAATCAGCCTGTCTAGAGGACCCTGAAGGATAAGATGCAAAACCTCCACCATATGTGAGGACAGATTTAGTTGGTGTCAGTGTTCTCAGCAGAAGAACTGCATTGTGCCAGTGGGTTATTTTCCAGAATCACAATGCAAATTTGTGGTCAAAGAACAGATAAATTGCACAGACAGCAGTAGCAGCAGGAAGTATTCTCCGCTATTGTCTATTTACAAGACAGCCTGTAAATCTGTTTATGAGCACGCTGGCATTAAGGTGCCTGTCAGGGCGAAAGCTGATGCCAGCATTTCACCATAACAGGGCTCAGATGGCACCAGTGTGGAGCCTTTGGTTAGAGGAATAGCCTGGGTTCTCTAGGAGGCTGTTTTCTCCTCATAGTTGCCGTGGGCTTACTGTGCTCTCGTGTGTTTGGTGTTCCCTAAATGCTGTCTTACAACTTCCTTCTGTGCCTGGGGAAGCCCTCTGGATCAGTGGGTCCCACTGCCATCCCATCCCCATGCACTTCAGTTTCCTGTGCAGGAGGAGACTGGTCCTTTTTCCTTTCCTTTTCTTCTGAGCCTGCCTGTGCTGTCAGCAGCTCAGCCAGGGTGTCCCAAGGCCTGTCCTGGGAATTCCTGCTCCACCCTGCATGCCCAGCTTCAAACCAGCTCTCCTGGATGTGCTGGAACACTCTGCAGGGGTCAAAGTGACAAAGGACCCCCTGCATTCTGTGCTTTTCCTGCTTTGGTTTTTCTTGCTTTTTCTGCAAGCAGAGTTCATCCAGCAGTCTGCAGCTCTTCCTGTGCTCCCTGGCTGGTTCTGGCCTTCCCTCCTGTGTCAGGGGCTACAGCTGCCACCCACCCTCTGGTGCTTCCTTTGTGCACCCTGGCTCTCTTGAGGGAATTGTCCTTAGAAGTAGGAGCTTTTCCTTTCCCTGCTTGGAGGCTTCCCATGGTGGAAGGTCTCTGATGGCCATGTTTCACTTGCTGTGGTTTTGTTCTTGCAGAGCACGGAAGAAGAGAGGTCCCCACTCATCAGGACGTCTTAGTAGGTTTCATTCCCCCTGTGAGATTGGAGAGCAAGCGATTAGAGCTGACCTAACACCAGCTGTCCCCTGTGGAGCCACGCTTGTGTCCAGCGCCACTTTTGGTGGGACAGAGGTGGAAGGGAGTCTGCACTGGCAGCCAGGGAGGAGACTTTTCTCTCAGCTATGTTCCAACTTCCAAACTCCATTTGCAAACTGCTCTGGATCCTGCTTTTCTCAGCCCTGCCCTCTGTTTGTACCCACACTGGCAGCCACAGAGGATCAGCACCGGGGACCGGCCCGGTTCCCTATGGGAGTGACACGGGTGGCAGTGCCAATGGCAATGGGCTCCTGGATGGCCCTGGGACAGGGACACACAGGCTGTGGGCTGGGTGCTGCTCTGTCCGTGATGTGTCCTCACTGTTGTCACTGGTGTCCTTGCTCCTGTCACAGCACAGTGTGCAGCTGACCTGCCCCAGAGCTGCAGCTCTGCGTGGGACCGAGCCAGCGGCTGGAAGTGCTTCTCCATGCAGAACACCTCGGTGTTCCCACTCTGCTTGCTAGCCAGGCTTTTATCCTTCGGGTGTGGGCTTTGTTCTGCAGCTTCAGGCACCACAGCTCAGCCGTGCTCCTGGGCGGCAGGAGACACAGCCGCTGGGTGGTGCTGTGGGAGTTTGCTGGGAATAATGCAGACTTGGCATGTGTGGGATGAGAGCGCCCCTCCGTGTGATGGACAGGGTCCTGAGAACTCCTGACACTTTTTTACTTGTCAAGCAGAAACTTGTGTTAAACGTCACCAAGGTTCCTCCCCCCCTTCCCAATTAAAAGAATATTCTCCTGGAGGAATGTTTCCATTAGGTAGTGAGCTGTGTGTTCCAAGTGTATAACTGTCTTCTAAAGAGGAGCATTGGGGTGTGCATTGCTTGGGCTTGGTTTGGGCTCTTTTTCCTGGCTGCTGCTTTGGTTCCTTCCCTGTGACGGTGGGGAGGCCCTTGAATGGATTCTGCAGAGAGCTCTGGCTTCCCCTGAATCCCTGCAAGTGTCCAAGGCCAGGCTGGATGGGGCTTGGAGCAGCCTGGGATCGTGGAAGGTGGGCCTGCCCACTGTGAAAAGCAGAATTCACTGCTTAGAATTTTGAGAAGTTTAATAATAATAGTATTTAAAAAGGACCATATTTCCAGGGCTGGGGTGCTCCTGACCAACAGCCAAAGAACACCCCTGGGTATACAGACAGTGTTATCTTTATAGTGTTACATCACTGAGATACACACATATTCATGTGTTTCCTGCATTATTCAAACATTCTTGTGAACTTTATGATGTTTTGGGAACTCCTTTGTTTGACTTCACCATCCAGCTTATCTGAATGACATCCTGGTTGTCAGGTCAATATATTTTATTTCTCCTTGTCCCTCCATCTTGCTCTTTCACATCCCCTGATAAGGATTTAATGTGTGCTCCTTAAATTTAACGTGGTATTCTCTAATTGTCCTCCGGTGCTCTGGTTTGTGTCAGGGTTATTTTATCTCTTGGACAGGTTGGTCAGTGCATGACCTTACACTGTTTTTAGTTACACAAAAGCCCCTTTTTTAAAACATCTTATGTTTTGCTAAGATCTACAACACAATACATTAATCACACCATTATTTCCATGAGTGATACACAGATATTATATTGATTACACCACTATTTCTCTAAGCATCACAGTGCATGCTTAAGATCATAGATTATATTTTATTAACATGCAGCTAAAAAGAGTTATCGTTGATGCTATTTCTAAATACTTGTTATCACTAACAGCATGCATAGGCTAATACATAAATGCAAAAGCCAGTATTATCTGGTCATTTTCAACACATGGCAGGGAGCAGAGCACGATGGGCTTGAAGGTGCCTTCCAGACCAAGCCCTCTTGGCATTCTGTGACAACACTGTCACCCCAAGTCTTGTTTTCTGGGAGTAATCCTGGGAAAATGGAAGGAAGCCGTTCCTCCCGGCTGTGGGGTGCCTGTGGGAGCCCTCACTGGGAAGGAATTGTGTCATGTCCCCGCCTGCCCGCCAGCTCCTACAGCGGGGACACCCAGAGGAACGGCGGCTCTGTGGTCCCGGGGTTGTGGAATCCCGAGAATGCCCGCCATCCTCACGGAAGAGCTGCTCGGTTTTATTCTTCATTTATTTCCCTTGGGACATTAAGCCTCTCCCGGC